CAGGTGGGCTTCCTGTTCAGGTGCGCCCGAGGGCTCATCGTCTCACATTAAACAGGTTTTATTACATCACTGTGAGTATAATAACTATGGAGATCTCCACCCCACATAGCAGAAACTGTTGTTTTCATACTTGTTAAACAAACCTGAGGAAACACTAACACCCTCACAGCCTCTCAGGTAACACCTGCTGGGTATCCCATCATGCCTCAGTGTTTCTGGCCCACTGCCCGGGGCCCACGGCCTCCTGGCTCGAGTCCAGCTGGCTCGGAGGCCCGGCGCATTGGGATCCTGACGGCACGTCACTCAGAGAGACGGAGGAGAAGACAGACTTTCAGCCGGAGCTGAAGGATGACGATTTAATTACACTTCTGTCCATTCATCTGTCCATCCACACACACCCACACACACTCGTCAGCAGGTTCCCACACCTCACAAACACCCCCTCCATCTTGTTCTTTTCTTGTATTTTTTTGGGTCGATGAAAAGAAACGATTCTGTTTTTACAGGCTGCTGGTTGCCGTGGTGACCGGGAGCGACCGAAAAATGTCCTGCAGGTCAAACTAGACGCCTGGACCATCAGCAGAGATGAGAAACCAGGTTCCTGTTTAACTGAAGCTCCAGTTTTATGACTGAAGTTTATCACCTCTGCAAAAACTGTGTGTGTGTCGGGAAGTAGAGCAGCTTCAGGTTTGTGTGTCTTTAGTGTCACAGCCTCAGCTGCTGTTAGACTGAACCTGTGATGTCCAGCAGGGGCAGCAGTGAGTCAGGCTCCATAGACTTCCATGTTAAAGGTTCACAGCACAAACAAACATGTTTACAGCCTGAAACACAGTCAGTCAACATTTCCCCGCCTTCATAACACCTGTGGGGGGGAATGTTTATATAACTCACCTCTTTGCATTATTAGGGGTGTGGCCTCTTTGACTGACAGGTAGATGGTATCTGCAGTCTGGACCTCTGTATTACAGCAAAGCGTGAACACGCTAACCTGTGTTTACATGTAAAAGTGTCTGAATGTTTCACGTCATTACTTCCATGTTAGCTTGAAATGTCTCCCTCTGCTGGCTCTGCAGCTTACTGCACATGTGGAGGGTCACAGCGTGACATGGACACTGTGGACACTGTGGACTGTTACACGCTTTGCTGTGATATCAGGACGTTTGTGCTGTTTTTAATGACATCATGTGACCAACAATATGGCTGCTGTGAGGTTACTGTACAGAGCGTGCACAAAGGCGGAGCTCCAGTTTCAGTGAAATTCAAGGATTTTGATTGGATGTTACTAATGAGCAGGTATCTGTGGTAGCAAGCGTCAGCTGATGACTCCATCCTGTCATTTCTGATTGGATCAAAACAGGCTGGAGTCCATCTTTTATTTACAGTCTACTGTGAGTAAGCACGCGTCACGCCGCTGGTCCAGAGTCAGCACTGGTGGCTGAAACAGGCTGCATGATGACATCGTCAGCGTGATGATTCACGTAAACAGACTGAGACACTTTATTTATTTTCACTCTGCTTTACTGAGGAAGGACAAACAGGAAGTGCACACATCAGCCTCAAACATCCAGCTGTGGCGTGATCGCCGAAGGTCAGCGACGCCTCCAAGACTGTCACAGCTGAACGAGCCACAAAACCTGAGGAGGAGGAAGAGGAGGAGTTAATCAGCAGCAGATGATGAAGAGTGGAATTCAGCGTGTATGTGACGATTTCCTGTTCTCACCTGAAACTTGATGAAGGTCACAGGAAGTGTGCAGACCTCCTCATGTCCAGCAGCCCGGTGCTTGGCGCCCCCTGCAGGAAGTTCTGTCAGCGCTGTATTTTCTTTAGGTTTTGATTTTCTCGTCCAACGCTACAAAAATCAAAACCTAAAAAAACCACAGAGCCGCAGCAGCAGCACAGCGGCGCCATGGGACACGCCCCTTCCTGTTTAGAAAAAAGAAGAAAAGAAACACACTGAAGCTGTGTCCCAAAACGTCGGCTGCATCCTTCGGAGGCCGCATTTGAAGGCCGATTACGTCACAGCCAGGCGCCGAAGGCTGTCCCAATTCGTCGACTCCTTCAAATGCGGCCGACAGATACGCCCTTTATTTCCCCGAATGTGAAGGATGGGTCGGGTGTGTCCTTCGTGGCCCACCATATCCCAGAATTCATAGCGCGGCCCAGCCAAACTCCAGTTTCCAACAATGGCGGCCGCT